GGGTAGTTCTATTGGAATGGTTCTTGAGGTGGATGAGGATTATGGAAAATCACTTCAAGTTTGAGTTAATCTTCCTGTGGGTAATCCTCTACAAAGATCCTCAACTATCAAGATGACTAAAATTGAGACAAAAAAGTAAGAATCAAGTATGAGTGACTTCCAGAGTTTTGTTACATATGTGGTTGCATAGGGCATATTGAAGTAGATTGTGATATTAACTTTCATTTAAAGGAAGCTAACCACAAAATAACAAAGTTTTATGGACCATGGCTAAGAGAAAAAGTTGTTGGTTGGGGTCTGGAAGATTTGGAAAACTTAGAGTTTTCAAATGAAATAAACAAAATAAGCAAAGAATTATAAGCAGAGACTAATAAGTTGGAAAACAAAAGGTTGGGGGTGAGAGAGGAGTCAAGCAAAGCACCTTCTTCTCATGTTTCTCAAAACCAAGAAGCAAAGAAGGACATTACGAAGGAGAATGGACCTATAGAACAAATGCCTGAAAATGTGGACCATGCGCCTGAAAATGTGGACCATGCTCCTGAATTCCAACCTTTAGAGATACCAGTGCAACAAGTTATAGCATCCTCTAAAGGAGGAAAATCAATAGCTTTAGGTCATGGAAAGTGGAAAAGAATTGATAGGAACCTTGCATCTACCCATAACTTAAAGAAAGAAATAATGGGGAAAAGGAAAAATATACAATAAGGAATGGAGTATGAAAGAGGATTAAAGGTATTGCTTGACAGCTCAAGGATTGCACTTGTAGTACCAATAGATGTTTTCTCTCATTTGTCTGCTAAATTGTAGACCATTTAGGTTTGGACAAAGCATTGTGGTGTTGGGAGACACTACATTGTCAAGTCCTCTAATCTCTCATGCTAAGTTTGGATGATAAAATAGATGCAATTATCAACAGCGACAATAAAGCTCCAAAATAATCTTTCTATGTTATTACATAGCTCTATTGCACCCTTATGATGTATACTAGTATTTAGAGGTTCTCAATTCCTAATTGTCCTATTTGTAAAAAACACTTAACTCTATATGTTAGTATCATAGGTCTTCCTAATTTATTTATATTTCCTTCACCATCCATATGACAAGGTATAATTTGCATTATAATTGTTTCAATTATTAATATAACTACTTTCTATATATATATATAAAGAAGTTAAAATAAGTCAATCATAAAATAATAATAAAAAAAGGTCAATGATTTAAACTTTAAAATATTAATATAGAACTACCTCCTTATCTCATTTCAATTAATGGAACAAAATAATGAGCAAATCCTTACTAGCCT